ATGATTTAATCATGTGGTATCTGACGTCCTCTTTACACAAAGTTAATTAGGCTCTGTTCTACAAAGTCAATTTGAAACATTTGTCTCAATAGCATTATCTTAATTATTCCTCATCAAAATGAAACCACCTCCTACTGTGAACTAACATATTTGTGTAAACAAAAAAGAAGAAAAAAGAAATCTTGCAGTCTTGAAGAAGGTTCCCGTTTTAAAACTCTCTAGTCTAAATACTAACACAAGCATTAAGTATTCAGAAGGAATACAAATAAGAAATCCACATATTTTACCACTTCAAGGAGCACTTTCCCTAGTGAAGACTGTTTTTTTCAGTATTCTTGAAATATAGATCATGTTATTTTTTTATTAGCATAATATTTTGCTTTCTCTGACAGAGTACCCCAAAGTGTGATCAGGTAAGAATTCTTTGTAAAAGAAGGACCTTATTTTATTGTCTATATGCCACAAGCACAATTAATTAGCCTTTGCCTATCTGAAACACTCTTAATTCAAAGATCATCAAAAAACAGCGTGTGGAAAGGGCTTGCAGCAAAATAACATCTTTACTGTATATCAGCACTGAATTAAATACAAATTTGGCAAACATTTTTTACAGATAGAAGTACTTCTTAATAGCAGTCTGGCAACTGAGTCCAAAATACTCAGTATTGCTATTCAATATTCATTCACTCAGCCAATTTAAATATATAGGAGATTTTCAAGTTCGACGTCTGGGGTTTTGATTTCACGTCTCCATCTTCATGAAAACATAGAAAAGGCCAGCTAAAAACAGTACTCTTTCTGCATACAGGTGCAAAAAACCAAAAGACCTCTCCCGCAACAGCTAGAATTAGCAATTTTACCACAAGCAGATCCTACCTATCAACAAACCAACAAAGTCCAGCCCCCCAACTGCAAAAGCCTACACACAGTCTATCTTGCAGCTTCCCCGCCAGTGTGGTATTTGGCAAGTTTGCAAATACTTTGATTCTTGTACCCTTCTTTTTACTCTTGACAACCGGTATTGTATTAGACCCACCAGTAAAAACTGAGTGAACTCCGCATATGTTAGGTGTCTTTTTCGATCCTTTCCAAAATGCAGCTGTACGAACTCTGAATTCCAGTTAAATGGAATGTGCTGATGAATTGTGGTCTGGCCAAAAACTTGCTTAGCATCCTCTGGGAAGAAAAGAAAAACATTCATTTAAAAATGAAATAGAGAGAAGCACATATTTATACAAGCAAAAAGTATGTTTTCTAATAGGAAAACAACATCGTTCATATGAATTAGTAATATATGTAAAGCAAAATCTACTTCTTTTGACAAAATCATAATAAATGAAAAATTTTTAACATCTTCATAAATAAGATGTTTTTAACATCTTCATCCCTTAATATCCTTTTTATTTGTGATGTTACATACTAACAACATTTGATTAGAAGAGACTCGACTAGCTATTTCGAGCTTCTAAGTCAAGCAAGAAAAGATTAAAAATAAAAAATGATTTATAAAACAGATGACTAAAGCTAACCAATTTTCAACGTAATCTTTTCAAACTGCTAACAATGAAAGTTCTGTGCCACTATAATTCAGGCTTTTGTATTATTCCAAGAGTCCTCCACATTCAAACAAATCAACTACAAAAACATCAGTATTTCAAGTTCCATTTTCTGTAGTTACTTTACAGAAGCAGTCACATGCAGGCAGGTAGGGGCACAAACATATCACGAACACAAAGTAAACTTTAATAGTCTCTGGCTTGCTGGGGGTGGAAGGAAGTCTGAGCACACCTAAACGCAAGGTTCATAGTTTAGTTTAGTTTAGTCATCTTAACTGGGCATTAGTTTATTATGGGCTTGGCAGACTTTTTGGTAGTATATGCCATTTTGGGAGAAGAAATACTATTTGAAACATGTCAAATTGTATTATCAATAATAAGGACTGTAAATTGTTGGAACTAGACTGTATAGCAACAGCACAAGATCTGAAGCAACAAGATCTGAAGACGTACTTGACTTTCAGACAGGTCTCTCACATGACAGAGCCCACTTCAATGCAACAGAAAAAGTCCGTCTCAGCCAAAAATATGGGGCAAAGATATCTTCCAAATACAAACTCAAAGCCAGAGGTTCCCAAATTGCTATACATGCTTCTAATTCTTGAACGACCCCTCTAGCAACGCCAGCCAGGAGCTAGTTCTCATGTGTTAGCTCTTGTGCGCACAGGGAGGTTGTTCCCAGGAGTCACTACCTACCCACAGGTGGAGCCAGGAGCTGCTTTCCTTCTCCCTTCACTCTTTGTGAGAAGAAAGACCAGGAATCAAAACTCTGCTCCTGTCTGTCTCTGCTGGCACAGAGTTGGAAGCCAGTTCCCAAGCGCAGCCAGTGCCTGGGGGCAAGGAAATCAGCACAGCTCTGTGCCTGCCTGTTGGCAGAAAGAGCTGGAAGCCACCTCCTTGGAGCCAGCCTCTGCCTGCAGGTAAGCCTGGGAGCTGGCTGCCAGCTCATCCCACTGCCACTGGGCAAGAAAAGGTGGGAGCCAGCTCCTTGGGGCTGTGAGGTTTCTCCTCCTGCACCGGCATGAGCTCTGGCTTCTGGTTCAGTCCAGGTAGCAGGCAGAGGCAGGCAGACACAGCTGCTCTGAAGTCCTGGGGAAACTCAGCCAGGGCAAAATCCACGCTTTAGCCAAGGAAGCAGGAGAAAGCTCAAAGCAGGATGGGAGGGTGGAGAGCCAGGAAGATACCAGGAAGCACCTAAGTGAATGAAAGATAAAGGCATAGGAAAAAAGTCCTGAGAAGGTGAAAGAGACAGGCGTCCTGCTGCACATGCCTCCTGTCCCACACAGACCCACAAGTACCACTGTTAGTATTACCTGCAAGGATAGCTTGTTCTAAATCACGGAGGATACTCATACTCGGTGTTTTACCGAGAGAGCAGAAACAGTATTGCAGACCTCTTCCCATTCCTCAACAGTCAAGAGTTTCATCTTTAAAACATACTACCCACTGATCCCAGGAAATCAGTTGTGGAAGAACCACATTTAACTTGCAAACAAGAAGCCTGGCCCTAGTTAACCTCATATTCTTAAAATTCAAATCTCCCAGCTCACGTCCTATGAGAGTTTTCTCCAAGCAACTTCAGACAGTGCCCCCAGGACAGCATTCATGTCTTCAAACTCCATCACAACCAGCTTGGATTTTGCCAGCCAGCACTCTCCAGGAGCAAAATCCTGCTCTCAGGGCAACTGGAGGGAAAGTGGATTGGTTCAGAGAGAGGTCTCATCCCATGATTGAATGCCTGTTATTTAGGATGCTTCCTACTGACACAACTGATGCACCTTGCCACATGTCAGCGGAGATTACTTTTAGAAAGCTACTGTTTTCTCATAGACTTCTCCCCCACACCTTAAAGAAGGGAACCAGTGACAAGAAGATAGCCTCAGTCTTGCATGCAAGCAAGAAAAAACGAAAGTTGTCTCTCTCTCAAGTATCTGATTCAGTTCTAGTCTCTTGCACAGCACTCATCTTCCTCTTTCCCTCCCATCTCGCTTCCTGCATTCTTCCACAGCAACACACTGATACTGTTTGGATAAGATGAGAAACAAGTTTTCATTCTAAAAAAGCTATGTTGTGTTGGTCCCCAGACTTCTCTTTGCCAGAGAAAAAAAGCGCATTCTTACTCAATGTGAAATAAGAGATAAGAAAATCTTAGTTATAAAGGCAGCCTCAAATTCCCTTTGATGCAAACAGGCTCCTTGCAGTCTTTATTTCAACTTGTTAACATTTGAAAGTTACAGACTGTCCTGTGATTATGCCATTGATTTTATTCTGATTGGTTATCACCCATTAGATATCTTCAAGGAACAATGCATCTTGCCCCGCACATACTTTGTAAATAGTCCTTAGGTGTGGCTTACAAAAAAAAAATCCACCTCAGTAAATCACAGTAAAAGTAATGAAAGAATGGTAATTTCAGAATAAAAACAACTTTTATTGACATTACAAATGACAAAGTAACTCACAGCAAAGGAGCTTAAAACCTTATCAAGTTTGCTAAGAATATATTAAGATTATATCCAGGGCATTTGCATCCTCTTGTCTATTTTAGAGATTAAAGGCAACACACATGCCTCAGAAGTTCAGAAAAGTACAAGTATCCCTTCAAACATTCCAAGCAGAAGATGGTACATATGATTTGTGCCACGACTTGGAGAATATACACTTGGAAATTTAGGCATTTTGTACAATAGTACAATGCACTACCTACATTACATTACTTGAGCTTTTCAAAATAATATTGTAAATTGATGTCAATATGTCTTTGAAACCAGTACCAGGTGCTTTTCTGACAGTGTGTATATTGGACTATATAGTGCAGCTAGCTGACTGGAAGATTGTCTACTGTGCTTCTGTTGACTGCTTGATGGTACAAGACACGGTCTTCCGCTTGCCCCAGACTTCTTACACATACCCTGCACTTCCTTCTCACAACTATTCATGGTTCACAAACTCAAAAGTTCAGTGGACTGCATCTTAAATTTTTCCTTCTTTCCTCACTAGTCTCATCACCTGTTCATCCACAACAATTTCACTGACGCGAGCATTGTCTGTAGTCAAATTGCCCGATTCAGATACTAAAGATCGTTCATGCTCCATGAAGAAATCTACAGTGTTTTAGCCTGTGATTTAACTGTCAAAAATCAAATTGCGTACTAGAACTCACTTCAAGGTATTGGGTTCTAGCAATATCATCTCTGAATCATCCAAGTCCAGTATTAAAATAAAAAACAAACAATTTTAAAATGTAATCTCGCCTCAAGTCTGGAGTCAGAGTTCCACAGCTACCCCCAAGGAGCTGAACTGAACAGAAAAAACAGAGAGGAGCAGCAATGTCTTTCAGTAGCCAGCAGTTATTTTATTTGCTTATACTTTTTTTTTTTTTTTTTTTAAAAGAGAAACCGTTTCACAAAAGTCACAGAATAATTTAGGTTGGAAGGGATGCACAGATGACATCTGGTCAAAAGCGGGTCCAACTACTTCAGGTTGCTCAGGCCATGTCCAGCTGCAGTTTAAACATCTACAGGGATGGAGATTCCACATCCTCTCTGGGCAACCACGGTCATACTTGATGCTAAACCAATATTTATCAAGATATCTGCTGCACTGAAGCTTTTAAATCCATGTCAAAACACTATTTACTTGTTTTAGTTTTAAAAAGGCAACATGTGAATGCTTCAGTGTCTGGAGCTGCAAGAGCACAAGATCTAAGTTTAGCAAAAGATATGATCACTTCCATGTTCGCAGTGCCTAAACACAGAGTTGTTGGAAAGTAAAATGAACAACAGATTGAAGAGGAGATTTTAAATATACAGTTTTAAAAATCCACACTGTCATTTGTGATAAGCTTTTTAAAAATTAAGCTTTGACATTCAATTATAAAGTAAATTTCAAAGTTCTAAAATAAGTTTGTTTATTTGTTTCCGCACTGACTCTAATAAAAAAAATTGAAATCTTATCATATTGGTTTCTGATCACGTTACAAGAAGGATCTTCTGTTTTGTCTCCAGCTGAATGGCCTGTTGGTCTGGGAAAGGTATTTTTGATCTTTGGGCACTAAGGTTTTTCTCATCTACGCTGTACTCTTTGATTGTTATGCTTAAATGCATAATGTACAAATTAGCACACTGTCTGCACATTTCCTTACTGTGATTAAGAATTATAACTACTGCTTTGGAATAACCACAAACACTCATGATGCACTAAAGACCAGCAATATTCCCCATGTGAAAATTACCTATTTGGAAGTTTGAAATTTTAACATTTAAAAGGAATTAACTGAATCTCACTGTTTTACTATATTTTGCATTTAAGTAAAGAAATCAGAAATTTTAGCTTCTAGCTAGGAAGACCTTCTAGGCATTAATCAAAGTTATTAGGAGAATTACTTGCATGTGCCATTAAGCTACTTGACAGAACAAGCTACTAAAACCTTTATTGGGCTACAGTTCATAAATACCTAACGTATTAAATCTGAAATTCTTTCAAACTAATTATTTGCACAAGTACGTAAATGTTTCATGCAGTATAAGTCCAATAAAATTAATACCATCCCAATGCAGAGCTACAAGAAGTTTCATGATCAGCTAAAATCCCACTCCTCTTATAGAATAGCTGCAACATTTTTTCAGAAAAGCTGTCACAATGGACCTTATTTTATATAGCTGTATGCTATACCTTTATGCAGTTAAAGAATTTTGAGCATGGTACAGAAAATCTGTAACAAAAACCCGGGCCTTTACAAAAAATGAGATTACTCTGATGATATTGGTACGAGCAACTTCCAGAAAGAACATAGGCCACCTTCGGCAAAGGGGAAAACAAAAGAAAAAGAAATGAACTCTTATACGTTACCAGAGTTCCACAGGCACTAATATTAACCTTTTCAAGCCCTTCTGGAAGTAATTGTTTCTATATTCATCACACTTAAGGGCCTAAAGAGGAATGTATGAGCACCAGAGCTACAACTTGGAATCAGTGAAGCAAAATTAATGCAAAGAGCATGGAATAGATATTTTATGTGGAACAGATATTTTAGTATGAAGAAATAGGGATTTTAAAACTGAATATGCAAATCGCCTTCATTCTGCTCAGACAAAAGATAATACTTTTACAAAAATGATGTTTTGTTAATGCTAAGCATTTCTAATTACACATTTGGAAGCAGTTTCCCTTAAATGGCACTTGAAAAAGTACACTTTTTAATTAAAAATCATTTAGAATAAAATGGCCAACAGACAACAACAAGAAAAAGTAACTCCAATTGGGCCAATTAAACTATTCATGAAGGTGGTTGGTCCACACTCATGACTAGAGAGCCCAACCACCTTGCCAGCAACCAAGACCTGACCTAAAGCCCAGTGGAGTTGAGAACAGGATTGATACTGATTTCCACAGGCTTTACATCAGGTCCTCACTGACCATTTGAAACTGCTCTACATTTTTCTATAAGCTTCACGGTCCTGAGCACACCAGCAGGCTCTGCAACCTCTTCTCTCCACACCCAGGGTTTGGCTCCCTGTGCCCAAGGCCAGCGTGAGGTGCTGCAGCCCTGAGCACTTGGATCAGGGCCTGGGCAAAGAGCTGTGGGAGGAAGAGCTGGGAGAAGGTTCGCTCAGGCAAGGACCAAGGTCCTGAGATGATGCTGCAGGGATGCCCCTGCCTGCCCCAGTACTTCAATGACCCCCCAATCAGCCACCTTGACTTCCCACCTCAGACCTGCCTCATCATTACAGATTTGTCTGGCGATTGCCAGACCCTGGTTACTGTCACCTGCTCTGCTCTATTTGTTCGGGCACTGTGGGACTGTGCCCCTCATCACTGAGATCTCTGCCCACACCTGCCTGTCTTGTCACTGTCAGCTCCAGGCTCACCTTCCTTGCAGAGCATCCGGCCTTTGCTGCTCCTGGACAGTAAGGGCCACAAAGTAGTACAGCAGACTTGTGTAAAAGCACATGTGTACAGAAATATGTACACATAAGTCAAAACACTCAAGTAAAAATATTTCATGTTATTTTGTTGTACTGAAATCATTAGGTTTTATCCAAGGTTTGAGGGTTTTTTTCTTATTTAGTGTTATGAATCTTAAAAATGCAGCTAGGTTAAATCCATCCTTCTAGTCTGACACAAACTGTTCTATAATGATGTCTTTTTATTTTGGAAAATATATGTCCACATCACATCTGCTTGGTTAAGATGTAAAATGATGTTTTTCTTATTGGTAGTCCAAGTACTTGACCGGGTTGCCCATTTACCCAGAAAAGGGGCAACACTCCAGAAGTGTAAGTGTTACAATCACCTTGATCTCCCTACTGCTTTGCCAAGGAAAATGGGTTGAAATAGTTTTATACGGGGCACACTATGAACTAAATAACGCACTGCCATAGCTTGATTACTAAGGCTTGCAAAGAACAGGCACGCTTTCCTCCAGCTTCCCTCAGCAAAACAAGGATAGCAAGGACAGCTGTCACAGCCACCCACTGCCACAGGTTACAAGCACTAGAATAGCTCTCTACGGCTATATTATTTTTACTGCCTCTTAATTCCTTGCAAAACATGGACTACAATCCATTCCGCAATTCTGAATCAAAGAAATTAATTTAGGTTCTTTCCTTCTTAAAATATGACTAGCAAGAGATCTGGTAGAACTTCAAACTGAAGCTTGTACAGTAGAAAATGAGCACACAATTGGAAGATTATGGAATTGTAATATATGACTCGAGAAGTGGGGGTTGTTGATTTGCAAAAAAGATAGCAGCTACGGTCAGTGTAATTTATCTGCACTCTATCATGTGGCTCTGCTATGATTTTAAAAGCAGTTGCATTCAAAAGATTGCAAAACCCTCTATTAGTGTCCTGTATTTATTTAGGCTAAGACTGGTTTCAGCTTGTACCTGAACAATATAGTTGTATATACACACTTGCACATATATACCTAAAAAAACTTGAATTCACTCCTTTTGTTAATTGTGTATGCATATGTATGTGTGTGTGCACATGCAGGTGCACGTATACATGTGCATGTGTAAGTGGTAGCTTTTTTTTTTTTTAAAGTAGGACTAGTTACTCCAAATTTAGAGAAAATCCCCAAAGACAAAATTAAATGAAAATAATAAAAATGGTAATTCTAATCAATTTAGCTATTTTGAGCAAGTCCAGCTGTAGACTAGTGCTGAACAGGTGTTTCTGATGCTTAGCACAAGCCAGTGTTGCCTGTGAGTAACCAAAGCTGTTACACCAAATTCAACGCACTTGTTTCCATGCGGATAACAGAAATCATCATCTGGACTCATTTCTGTCACCCTTATCACGAAGATGTTTACAACACAAGACTTTACGAATCCAGACTGACTCAATAGCTTTCCTCACAGCAGCAGGGGCTGACTTTACTGTAGTTGTCCAGGAATACAAATTTACTTCAGTATTCACATGACTGTTTCCTATAGCAGTTTAATATACCAACTAAAGTGATAAAATACAAACTCTTCACTCGGATAAATTATCCTAAAAGAGCATAAAAGTTATTACACTTTACTCTCCAATGCAGACTTGAGAGCGCTATTTCTTTAACAGCTATTTTGCTTAGCTAGATGGTATAAAAAATCACTTTCTTGCAAAGCATTAACATACATTTCCCCCCACTTAAATTCTTCAATTTCAAATGCACCACAAAATGTACTCCCACAACAGTACTGTATTAGTATAAAACTATTTTAGTTCAATTAAAATGTCTAACTATCTACCCCCAAACCTACCTAAACTGTAATTTTCACTTTGAGCACTTCCAACATGTTCTCAGTTTTGTTTTCTTTTATCAGCTTATCAAATCAGGTCCTGCGTTCCAACTGTTGGAAAAAAATAGTCATTAACTGCTAGGTAACAGCAGATTTTCCAGTTTAGAAAACTAAAGTACACACACTGCAAGTATGTGTATTTTGCTATCTGAAATTTCATATTAAAATTTGTAAAAGTAAAACACTTCTCTAGCTCTCAGGGCCTGCTAAATTATTTAACTTCTAATTCATAATCCATGGCAATTTGAAATGGAGATGGAACAAAATCAAGTTTAAAACGTATACTGCTACTGCCACAGCTTAAATGTATTCTGGTGCAGAAGGCTCTGGTTCCTCCTCAAATGCTGCCTAGTAATCATGTTGGGGTTTTCTTCCCCAACAGCATAGACAGTTGTATAAGGGATGTCTAACCCTCAGCTTATTGTTAACCAGAGAGTGACCTTATATGGCTGAAATTTACTCTCAGATTGGCTTTATCTCACCTTTTCCATATATATATATATA